ATCCAATTAAAAAACAAGCAATCCAATTAAAAATGGGCAAAATACCTGAATAGACACTTCTTCCAAAGAGAACATACAGATGGCCAACAGACATATGAAAAGATGTTCAACGTCACTAATCATCAGAAAATGCAAATTAAGATCCCAGTGAGATATCATCTCACACCTGTCAGAATGGCTACCGTCAACAAACCTACAAAGTGGAGAAAAAGGAACCCTCATGCACTGTTGGTGGGAATGCAAATTATTGTGGCTACTGTGGAAAGCAGTATGGAGTTACCTCAAAAATTGAAAATGGAACTGCTTATGACCCAGCAATTCCACTTCTGGGAATTAATCTGAAGAAACCCCAAACACTAATTTGAAAGAGCATATGTACCCCTATGTTTATTGTAGTGTTATTTACAATAGCTGAGATCTGGAAATAGCCCAAGTGCCCATCAGTAGATGAGTGGATAAAAAAGCTGTGAGACAGTTACACTATGGACTACTACTCAGCCATAAAAAGGAAGAAAATTTTACCCTTTGCGACAGCATGGATGGATCTGGAGAGCATTATGCTAAGTAAAATAAGCCAGAGAAAGACAAGTTCTATATGATTTCATTCATATGTGGAATTTAATGAACAAATTGAACTACCAAGCAAAATAGAGACAGAATCATTGATAGAGAGCAGGAAGACAGCTCTGGTGGTGGTGGTGGAGGGGAAGGAGAGGATGGTGGAATTGAGACAAAATGGGGAAAAAAGAGAGGGGGAACTCATGGACATGGACATATGGTGATTGTCGCAGGGAAGGGGTAGGTTGAAGAGGGCATAGAGGGGATAGATGGTGATGAAAAAAATTAAATTTAAGAAAATAATCTTGACTTTCAGCGAGTGTAGCAGCAAAAAGGTAGGAGATGGGATGATAATTAATTCAGGGCCTGCTGCCAGTAGACACTCAGCATGAAACATGATGGGAATAGCTTTTATGTCTTAGCCATTGCCTGAGCCTGCTATGCTGCCTATGGCAATTCTTGAGCAATTCCACTGCCTCTTCCCCATTTGTGTCTGGGGTAGTGATTCTGGCTCAGCTCTGGAGCTCACCAGGCAGAACAATCAGATTTTATCTCCAGGAACACAGCTGAGGCTACAGCCAACAATCATATAGGTCCCAGAGCCTTCTGGCAGTTCACAGAATTAGTGACTTCCAGGTAACAGAATGCGTGAGATTCCGGCAGAGGGTCCTGAAATTGAGACTCCTGAGAATAGGAATGATTCTTGGCCCCAAATAGAACAAGTTAGCCCCAGTGAGGGCCCAGTAAGGCTGGCTTCATCTTCTAAGCTAGCTCTTCAACTTTATGGCTCAAATCAGTTTCCTGATTGAGCCTCTGGAAAGTACTTTTGCCAGATTCAGGGAAGAACAGAGAAACATGACCAAACTCACAGGAAAAAACCGTAACACATATGTAAGTGAACACATGAGTAAGCAAGCGAGTTATATTCACCCTTCACAGATTCACCAATCTGCAGAATGGACAAAAATAAATTTTAGTGGTACATTTTGAGAGAATCTGCAGGAAGGCTTGTCTCTTTTATGTGCTCCTTGCCTGGTCAGGCTCATGCTTCCCACACAAGGACATGGAGGGAAGGTGGTCCCAGACCTAACAGAGTAGCACAGAAGTCAGTTCAGATGTCAAGAAGGACAAATGTTTCCTCTTCCCAAATACACAAGAGTTGACCCTAACTCTTTAGACTTATGAACTTTTGCTTAGCTACAATTTAATAAAATATTCTTAAATAGCCCTGGCCAGTGTGGCTCTGTTGGTTGGAGCATTGTTCTGTACACAGAAATGTGGTGGGTTTGATCCCCAGTTGGGGCACGTATGGGAGGTAGCCAATCGATGTTTCTCTCTCTCTCCCTTCCTCTCTCTAAAATCAGTTTTAAAAATTGTTAAATCGATCATTCTATATCTCTTCTATACTGCAGATTTTTCTAGGTTAAGAATTTCATCTTACTCATCTCTGCATGCTCCACACCATACACACAGTGGCTTACACATAATACGTGCTCCATAAATGCTTTTAACAATTCTTTCATTCTACAAATGAGTACTTTCTACATACCATGTTCCAGGGACTAACAAAACAGGTTAAGATCATAGTATCATGCAGCTTATTTTCTGGTTTGGGAAACAGACAATAAGAAAATAAATAGCCCTGGCCAGGTGGCTCATTTGGTTAGAGTGTTGTCCAGATACACCAAGATTGAAAGTTCAATCTCTGGTCAGGACACATACAAGAAGCAACCAATGAACGCATAAATATGTGGAACAGCAATTCAATTTGCTGGTTGCTTCTCTCTCTCCTTCCCTTTCTCTCTCTCTCTCTAAAAAAAAAAATCAATAAAAGTAAACAAATATTTTACTTTTAATAAATTTAACATTTTCAAGTAGTGATAATAATAGAGGGAAATTAAGGGAGACATAGGGATAGACTGATAAAGGCTCTATATTAGATAAGGTGGTCAGAAAAGGCTGCTCTGAGGAGATGACTATTTGAGTAAAGCCCTGAGCAGATTTACCTAAAAAAAGGAAAAAAAAAAAGTATTCCAGGAACAGAGAGTGTACTTGGAATGTTCATGAAACAGCAATAAAGCCAGGGTAGCAGTGACTATCAAGAAGAGGGTAGGAGGTGAGATCAGAGAAGTATCTGGGGATCAAATCATGTAGGGGCTTGGAGAGGAATTATCTTAAGCATAGCCAAATATGAAGTTTCACTTTTTTGTGGTGGGTCCCATTCTCAGGAAATGCCAATTAAGCTAATATTAGCCATAAAGAAACTTAGAGGTAAATCTACCTACCACAGGTGGTGTAAAACATTCTTAAACTTACTATGCATGGTTATTATTTATTCTTTGGAAATTCCCTCACACATATACACCCTGCACTGAGTTCAATAAGATCATTTAGAGTAGATGGGGAGAGGGGAGATTTCTCAATTAACAGTTTAAAAATATCTCCTGTTCTAGCTTACTTAATCCACTAAGGCATGTTTTGTTGTTGTTGTTTGTTTGTTTGTTTGTTTGTTTAATGCTAAGGCATAGCTTCCCCATTCATGCAGGATTCTACTTCCCACCACATATTAATGGGTCCTTCCTGACCACTGTCTCCATGAGATTAACTTCTCAAACTTCAGATTCCTAATACCACTAAATAGGCAGCAGGTGAATTAAGTCCATTGGGGTGCATGGCATTCCATAATTCTGGAGCAAGGAGCATGAAAGATCCGCAAGTGATCCTAGTACAAGCAATGTGCACAAATGCTGAGAGAATGCAGAGCCCTGGAATAGAAGGTTAACAGACATTTCTCACATGAAGTTGAAGGTCAAGCATGGAGTATTCTCTTTCTAAATCAGAGTGAAAAAGCTGGATACAAAAGAAACAGCTTGGGCCAGAACAAGGAGAGAAAGGAGCTTGAGGGAGATGTAAAAAGGGAAAATACTTTGAAGGAGCTCAGGGAGAAATGGGAATGAGCGGAGGAACCACACAAGTCTGCAGAAGAGAGCTTGATGCCATCCTGCACTGTTGCTTACCTGTGTGTCTGTCCTCACTGACTGGATCCCCAGCACCTGGGTGGCTGGAGCTAGTGTATCCCCAGCACAAAGTTCGCAGAGCCCTGCTCGCAGTCAGTGCCAAACAGTGTGTGGAGGCACAAGAAGAAAAGGTTGGCTTGCTCTCTCTTCCCCCTCCTTCACCATCTATCTCCCTGACTTCTACATAGAAGTGGAACCAGAAAGGAGGCAAGGATCAGCAGAGAAACAAAAAGAAGGGAGCTGCAAAGCTGCTGAAGTGGGAGGCGGAGATCTGCTTGCGCCGGCGAACGTCTGCTGTGGGGTCCTTCCCGGTGCCCTCGGCATGACTCGTGGGTTGGGGCGGGAAGTTGGAGGGCATGTGTCCAGGGCAGCGACAGGAAAAGGCGCACGCGAGCGAAAGAAGGATGGAGGACTCACAGTAAGGCAGCGGCGAAGAGGAGCGAAGGCTAGTCAAAGCCAGCTAGGAAGAATAAAGGGTCCGTGGGTGAAAAGGGGTTTTATACAGAGGGGGGCCTAAGGTATGGGACGAAATGAAGATCTTCGAATGCGAGACTCAAAGAGCGAAGTCTCACCCGAAACAGAAATAGCAAAACAGCCAGGCCGACGTGGCGGCCTCACACCCAAGCCTCCTCCGCAGGCAACTTCTCAGCGCCGGCAGGGACGCCCTGGCCTCCAAGCTTTGCAGTGAAAAGTCTGGACAGCAGACACGGACCACAACACCCACAGTGCCCCACGCGCAGCCGAAGGACCCCGCCTCTTCCGGTATCCACTAGCCAATGAGCTTCGCCAATTCCCTCTGCCCCGGAAAGGCCCCGGGAAGGGTGGGCACTTCCGGCCCCGGGACTCTTCGGCTGGCTCCTTGGGGATTCCGAAGTGCAGTTCTCACTGCGAGCGGGTAAGGCGTCGTCCCGAGGCCTGAGGAAGGGATCCTCACGGCGTAGGTTCCTCTCACGAAAGATGGGCTGGTTAGGCAGACGGAGAGCCAACCCACCCCTGTCAGGCCGTTTCCCCTCCTTTTCCGAGGCCCGACCTCTGGCGCACGCGCACTGCGCCCCCGCCCCTCGCTCCGAGTGGCCTTGAACTTGGAATATAAATGCACTTCCCCACCTCCCGCGGCGGGCCTCACACCCGTGGCACACGCGCGCTTTCCCACGTTCTCCGGGGGTGGGCCTCTGAGGTGGGACACGTGCCCACCCTGAGAAGGACCCAGAGAGTGGTCACTGGGCTCTAGTTCACTTTGCTAAGTTCAAGGCATTGTATTTTGGGTAATGTTCTTTTAACAAACCAGCTGTGGGAAACTGCGCTAGTGACTTAAACATCAGGACCGGGGTTCTCCTCATCTGTGAAAGCCGAGGCAGCCGCCTCTCAAGCTCCCAGGAACACTGAAAACCTTCTGCTGGTACCCCCAGGGGGCAGCAGCCTCCCCCAGCTCCAAGCCCCACAGAACCAAAAAGCTCACCTGGGCATTGGTCCTGCACCCACTGAACTGAGAGCAGGAACTAGAAACAGGACAGCATTCCTGGGGTCAGCTGGAAAGAAACTCCCTTGGTCTTTTCCTCTATCAGCAATTCCTGATAGTTCTCTTCCTACATATCTTGTGGTCTGACCACTTTTCTTCATGCCTACTGCCATTCAGAGATCATCTCTTTGTTAGATGGTTTCCCTGTCTCCAGGCCCCACCCCACCCATTCTAGAATGCAAATTTGATTATTAAAACATGTGGCTTCCCTTTTTCCCCAGAATAAAGTACAAACACTTTAACAAGGCTTCCATCACCTGGCCCCTTCCCACTCCAATCTTTTCTCACTCCGTCTTCCAACCATCTTCAAATATGATCTGTTCCTTTACCACACCAGGCTGCCTCTTACCTCCGGGGCTTTTTACAGATAGAAACAACTTAATGGACATTCTGAACTCAACACAGTCTTGACATGGTTTTAACCAATGTCTTCCACTGTACTTGGTCAGTTCTCCCTTTCCAGCTCTGACAGATTCTGTAGCGTTCTGTTCACTTAGTTATTAAAAGTCTAGACTAGTGTCAACCGCATCAATTCAACACCAACAGGAATTCCAAGTTTGGGGTGCAGTGAAGAAGGAAATGTTTTCAGTGCAAACAACTCAATTGTGACACAGCATGGCTGTGAAAATACATGACTGTGGAACATATCAGTTGTGATACAACGCAGCTGTGAAAATAGCATTGCTGTTAGGAGGCCCTGGGGACAGATGTCTGCTTCTCCAACTAGACAGTTCTGCTGTGCTCTGTGCCAGTCTAGTCTAGTCTGCTCTGCTCTGCTCTGCTCTGGAGAGACATCTTCAGTGTTATATCTTCGGTGTTTCAGCTCTACTCAGGTAACTGCAGTCTTCAGTTTATAGTGGAAAGGGAAAGTGTACTTTTAGAGCCAGAGGGGAGCTTACACATAAGTCCCTGCCCAAACTGGTCCCTGATTGGTCTATCCTAATGCAAATAAGGACTCCAAGTCCTTGCAGTTTTATTGACCCAAAAGGCATTGTCCTAATTGGTCAGAATGGAGCTGCTTTGATTGGTTATTGAAGAAGTTGCTGGTAGCTGCACAATTCCAGTTGGATGGGGAAAGCCTCAATCTTATTGGTTGAAATAGGATTCCAGGAATTCCTTTATAAGGGCTGACTCAGATGACAGTGCAGGCTGGCAATTAAGTTCAGGCTTCTCCCTGAAGTGCAGTTTGCGTGAGAGGTCCCTGTGTAGAAATGGCTGCTAGACTCTGTTTTTTTGTTTTGGTTGAGGGGGGAGCTTTTTTGCTTGTTTGTTTTTTGAATCTGAGCCCAGTTAAGCCACCAGGAATTCATCTTGGTAGATACCTTTTTATCTCAGGGTCCACGCTAGTGTAGTCCACTTTAAAACTTCAACCTCACATCAAGTTTTAAGGTCCTTACTTCCCCTCAACACCAACCAGGCCTCAGCAGTGGAACTTTGTTTGGGGAACGGGTGCATTCTGACTTTTCATAGAAAGAAGTCTCTCTTTCCCTAATTTAAACTACTTCTTGTTTTGGAATCTGGAGGATGGATTAGGGAGGGTGAAGGAACATGGGCAAAAACTCCTTTTATTAACTGGTCATGTCATTGCAGTCATCTGTTGGTTGTGTGTCTCTCAGGCTAAGACAAACTGGTCATGGACACCTTCCATTTTGAAGCTGCCCAAATGTTAGCTTTAATGGGCACATGGGTTAGTGTCCCAAGAGCTCTCCCCTTTGCACAATCCTCAGATGGGAAATCTGCTCCAACTTAACTGCTTCCACAAGCCCTTAGGTCCTTCTCTTGGCAGTTTAACTAAGCTTCCCTGACTGCCAGTTTTCTTGGGACAAAAATAACATGGCTCAAACCCTGTTGATTCCCACACTGTTTATTTGACTTACAGGAAGTTCACATCCTTGCTAAACCAAATTGTAAGAGTGACAGCTCTTTCCTTGTCAACCCTCCCACCTTGCTCCAATGATCAGCAAGCTTGTCCAAGCAAGAACTGAGATGTCAGTCTCTCCTTGCCAAACCACAAATTGTTATGAGTGGTTCTCTTGGAGACCTCTCACTTGGAGGTAAGGACAAAATGCACAGCACTCAATCCCTCGACTGGTGACAGACACATGACTTCGTCAATCCCCCTTCTGTTTTTACCTCCACACCATCTTCTGTTTATTTCACATGGAGGTAAAAAATGGGATATGATGTAGAACTGACCTACCATCTCTCGGTGGTACCTCTCAGTTAGGTGTCCGGGGTATCAGATGAGTCCTACTTCACAAATGTTGTTTCCTTTGCCCAGAACACTTTGTCACACACCTTGACACCTCTCCTTTTTCCCTTTTCTATGACTAGCTCCTCCCCATCTTTTAGGTATCAACGTAGATATCATCATTACCAGGAAGAAATCCTAACATTGCCAAGCCTATGGCAGGAGACTGATCTGTCACTTCTAAAGCTCCCGGTGCCTCCCTCATCATAGCACATACCGAATTATGCTCTAAATGATTCTTGATAGTCTGTCTTCCCTCATGAGACTAAGCCCCACAAGGGCTGGAACAGTGTCAGCTTTACTCATCTCTGTACTCATAGTGCCTCACACACAGAAAACACTCAGTATGTTGGATAAACACATGAACAAATGATTCTTATGGTTTCGGGCTACAGTCTGTGTGATTTGAAAAAGCCTAGGATCCTGCTGAAATTGCCACTGCCCTGGCTTCCTCCAGTACCCTGAGAACTATTGAGCTTTGTATATCAGATTATGTTGGTGGGACATCTTTGAAATGTCTAAAGTGCTGTATTAGAATCTGTACTTCTATAAATTAGTTTTATTTAATCAACCTATCCTGTAAGCATACTCAGAGTTTGCAAAAGAGGAAGTTGTGAGATAACCGAAGATGGGTAATTACCCTAAACTTTTTGCTCCAGTCCTCACAAGCCCAGATCCCTTTCCCAGTTGATTAAAAGTTTGATTCTATCCTGTAGGAGTTCCCTTTTCACTGTTTGACTGGAATTTAAGGGGAGTTATGGCTTCTCCTACTAGAGCCTCTGCACGTGATATTCATTCGTTTGTTCAACAAACTGCTGTTAACTGACCTAGAAGGGCTTTGGGAGCTTTAATGTATATCCACCTGGGGCCCTTCAGGTTCATAGAGGCAGGATGGGAGATGAACAGCCTCACTAAAGTAAGGATATTCCTATCCTCAGACACTAGGTAGATTTCCTAGGAGCCAGAGCCATTCCTTCCTTCCTTTCCCTCCCAGTCCACACCCCACAATGAAGCAAAAAGGAAAAGTTGTGCCATAGGCTTAAGGAAAAATGCCCTCTGGGTTTAGGAGCCCTAAGATAAAAGAGGATATTGTTTCCAGGGAACAGTTCCAGACATAAGATCCTCCCATATCCCCTGTCCTGAGAGGTCCTTTCTCTTCTTTAAAATGGAATAGAATTTTTGTCTGAAGAACCACGTTCCTGGATTAACTAAAACATGAATTTACTCAGAATAGCACATTCAGCTGTTCAAATGCATATATTGGGCAATGTTTCTACGTGAGTTCTTGTGTATCCTACAGTAAGGGCACAGTCCCTGCCTTCAAGTTACAACTAGTAAGGGAGGGAAGATTAAGTACTATGATAGAATTATCCATTTGTGGCCTGGATGTTGTGGAGGTCAGGGTCTTAAAGAATATAAAACTGGCTTAGTCTGGAAGTAGAAGTGGACCGAGCAGAAGATTAGGAGGGGAGAAATGCAGGATTCCAGGCGTTGCAGGCAGAGTGAACGCCAGGGACGGAGGCCAGGAGATAACAGAAGCAAACCTTTGCTGAGCTCTGAGCCTGTACTTCACAAGTATTACCTGATTTGATTCCCACAACAACCCTTTGAAATATGTATTGTGATAAACCCCATTTTATAGATGAAGAAACTGAGGCATGGAGAAGTTAAGTAAATATTTTGAACAAGATCACAGCTTACTTACTGATGAAGCCAAGATGCAAACCAGGAAGTTTGAGGACAGAGCCTCTGCCCTTCACCACTTGGCTACCAGGTACTTGAGGACATTGTAAGCTGTCTTTTGTAAAGGAGTATGAAATGCATGGGAAAGCATGATAGGAAAAGAGAACAGGCAAGTCGGTGTGGAAGGACAATGTGAATGAAGAGTTTATACATTATACTGTGTGATGGTATTTGGACTTCATCTTAAAGGTAACAGGGATCAAAATGATGGCTTTTGAGTTAAGTGATCTGATTTATTTATGTATGTTACTCTTAACAGCGAGTAGGACAGATTATAAGGAAAGAAGACTACTCAACATAAGAAGACCAATTGGTGAACTGTTGCAGGGATCCAGACAAGAACTGATAAAGACCAAGAAATTAAAGTTTGAACTAAGGTAGAAGCTGTGGGGGTAAGGAAGAGTGGATGGGTGTGAGAGGCGTTTCAGAAGTGGAATTGACAGTATATTGAAACCGAGCAAGTGCAGGGAGTCAGAAATAAAGAGCAATCTAACAGGATCCCAGGTTTCTTATTTTAGAGAAGGTACAGAGAAGTCGACTTGAATGGGAGGGTATTAGGATGAGTGTGATTGTGAGGATTTGAGACACTTGTGTAACAGATGAAGCACCAACTGGGCAAAACAGTGAGCAGTTAGGTTTATGAGTCTGGAGTAAGAAGTGAGATCTGAGTAAAGGTACAGGTTGGAGAGTCACTTGGCCTATAGATTGTCATTGAAACCACAAGAGTGGATGAGATAACCCAGAGAAGATTTCAGAACGTAAGAAGACTGAAAGTGGACTCTGGAAAAATATCAACGATACAAAAGGGCAATTGGATGCAAGGGGACTAAAGAAGAGGAACCAGGATAGGAGGAAATTGCGGATGTGCTACCACCAAAGCTAAGGGGGAAAGGGGCTTGGGGATGAAGAAGTTGTGGTTGACCCTGGGAAAACTAAATGAGCAGTAGCTTCGCTTTGATGGAAAGGAAAGAATACAGATCAAGGGCTTTTTTTGTTTGTTTTGTGGGGGTTTCTTTGTTGTTTTTTATTATTTTTCTCCATCACCGTTTATCTTCCATATACCACCTTCCACCGTCCCCTGCAGTCACCACACTGTTGTCTGTCTGTGAGCTCTTTCTCTTTTGCTCAATCCCTCCA